CTGCCGGTCATCGGCCAGAACGACTCTGGATGGAGACGGACGTACGTCCACAAGCCCTGTCCTTCCTTCCTTCCTTCCTTCCTTCCTTCCTTCTTTCCTTCTTTGTGTCAGAAGGTCTGGATGCTCCTGTGATGCTTTTGCCCCAAACAGCTAATATTTTTTCCTGACGTTGGAGAGAACCGGCCTGCCTCTCCTCTCTCGACAACAACTGCACCAGCCCACAGCTCACCACGGGAAGATGTGGGTCAAAAGGGCCCAACGCAGAACCGTCTTTCCGGGCCTCCCTGCGAATGGGCACTCTCCTGGGGCAGCCTAAATGACCCCGGCCCCTTTGGCACCCACATCCGGCTGCCGGCTCAGCTGGGACTCCAGCTTCAGTTTTGGGGTCCTCATCCTGGATTGGTGTGTTTGATTTGCTGCCCTTAATGTTACGATTCATTCGATGCTGCATGTTTTCCAAAATCAATACTGAAAATGTCTTTCGGGGTCTCCCTTCTTCCTTGGCCCAGGGGTCAGGTCAAAGCCGGGCTCTGAGGCCGGCCCTTCCTCCCATTGTGGCTTTCCTTGTGGAGCAGTAGATCGTGGATTGTTTGGTCGTGGGGGCTGTTTGTCCCGGAGGAAGGCTGGAAGATTATGGTGGCTTCTTCCCCGTGCAGCTGCGGTTCCTCTGGCTTCTCAGCCTTCCTTGCTCCTGGTTGCCATCTGGGGGGAGACAAGGGGGAGGGGAGGAGGGAGCATGCAGGTGGGGGGAGGGAACTGTGCTGTAGTCCATCTTCCATTTAACCAGCCATATTGAGTGATAAATAATTCATATTTCTGCCAAACATTTGATTAAAAGAAGCCAATTCCTTCTATGTTTGTCAGGGGGCAGAAAATCCATTTAATGTTTTCATTTTAATCGGTACTTTTCCCTCTGAATGCTTAGTGTCCGCACGGTCAGCGTGCTCTCCGCCCCCCCTGCAGCAGGTGCCCCAGCGGCCTCTCCCTCCTGGGCTGCGCTGGGCTGCAGAGGCCGGCCTGGCCTTTTCGGAAGGAGATGGAGCAGAGCCCAGGACTGAGGGCCACAACCGTGCCGTCTGTGTGTGTGTGTGTGTGTGTGTGTGTGTGTGTGTGTGTGTGTGTGGGGCGGGGGGGGAAGCATGTGGGTACTGAGGACCCTTGCTGCAGGGAATCTGCCCTCTGCCTGGGGCAGGCTGCAAGGGGTGGGAGGGCAGCCCCCCACCTTCGGCTTTGGGACCAGGAGGGCTCTGGGAAGATCAGGCTGTTTGGGCAGGGCCCACCAGTTTCTCCCAGCTGACTCTCCCCACGATTGGGGGGGGCGGAAGGGAGGGGGGTCAGTGCATGCCTGCCTGTGCATGGCTGTGTGTCTGCCCCTGGGCTGAACTGCCTGCCCTGGAGATGAACTTTCCTCCACCCAGACTTGGTGGTCTTGGGGCCTCCCACCCCAAGGGCTGGCTCCCGCCCCTCCCCCAGGAACGTGGGGTCCTCGCCCTCTTCCTTGGGGGCTCTCCGGGTTGTGCCCATCACAACCCATCGCTACTCCTGTCCATCTTGAAAGGCCAATTAATGCGCTGCATCCGTGCAGCTGAAGCATGAAACTTCCCTGTTTGGCGAAGAATTATTGCGGAGCGAGACGGTTCTGGCTGTAAAAGCCCTCTTCCCCCAGGGAGACGCTGAGATGTTCTTTGCAATTAAAATTTCTTTCAAACTCGGACCAAGGAAGATTGAAAAAAAAAAAAAAAGAAATATTTTCAGTTGCAAAGACCTTTCCCAAACAGGGACGGTGTGAGAGTTTTAACAAACACCTTTCCCGGCTCTGAAGACTCGCCAAAGTTTGGTGGAAACCATCAACTGGCTGGTCATTAAAATTTTGGGGAGGGGGAAGGGAAGCCCCGCCCCTTACAGAGTGTGGCAGCTAGTATGGGGTGGGGGGTAGGAGGTATCCATTCATTCCTCCCCCCCCCTCCGCTTGGGGTCTTCCAGCCCAGTGAGAAGAAAAGCTATGAAGAGGCCCCCCCACAGGGAAAGTAATTCTGAGAAGGCAGAAAAAGGAAGCTGTCCATTTACTTCAAGGGCAGAATAGATTACACTTTTAATAAGTATAATGGCTTTCTGGACCCTTTCTTATTAAAGCTGGAGTGTGACTGGGATTATCCCAGGGCTCTTTCACTTCTGGTGTTGCCTGTGAATCTGAGCGGAGGGGGGGGGATTGGCAGGGCAGGGCAGGAGGGCAGAGCCGAGCCCAGGACAGGGCTGAGTTGGGTCTCTTGCAGACCCTCTCTTTGTCTCCCGCCCTCCTGGGCACTGGCAGAAGGGGGCGGCCTGGCCAGGGAGGGGTGCATCCTGAAGGGGCATGGATGGCCAGCCTGGAGAGGAACGGTCTGGGTTTACCTTCGGGGGGGGGCTGCACCCATCTTCTCCTGGTGGGTCATCTCGAGGGGGTAGGTGGGCGACAGCCGCTTTAGCCAGGAGCTGGCAATGATCAAAGGGGCTGAAGTCTCTTGTGGCAGCAGGAGCCCACCGCCCCCAGGCCCACCAGGAACCAGTTGGGATGGGGGGGGCAGCTCTTAGGCGCCTGGGGGATCTGCCCTTCTTCCAGAGAGAGAGAGGGGGGGGGGAACTGAGTGGTCAGAAGACGCCCAGCTGACCAGGGGCTCGGAGGGCCAAGGATTCCCCCATTTGTCTAGGGGCTGCTCTGGTCACAAGCTGACTCCTGTGGAGTAGATCCTGGGAAATGGAAACTGTACAGACTCTCTCTCTCTCTCCCTGCCTCCCCCCTCCCCAGAAAGGAGAGTTAAGTGGAATTGGATCTGGTTTAAGAGAAAAGAGCCATTCCTGGGCTGCTATTTTTCCACACTGGCAGAACCCGGAAAAGGTGTTTGTTGGGGAATCTTGCCCTTCTCAGGCAGGGATAGATGGCTCCTGTGTTACTCCTGCGGGGGGGGGGGGATTTGCCCTGCTAGCTGTGGCGCCTGTGGGAGGGGGAGTCTGCTTTCCTTTCTGGCCTCCCTCCCCCCTCCTCCACGGACCCCAGAAAGAGCCCCCACATGGCCGGGCAGGCGTGTGCTGTGCTGTGAGGGCTGCCGGTAGTCCCCCCTCCCCAACCGCTGCATCGGTAAAATGAAATAAATATCGACACGGACGGGGTGCCATTCAATTTGTCCTGATCACTGGGCTGCAGTGAGTTCTGACAGGGCAGAATGTAAAACATAAGCTCAGGATGTAATTTCTACTGTCAACATGATGTACAGTATGGTTCTGCCAAACACACACTGAGAAAGCAGGGAGGGGGGGGCGGGCGGGCGGGGAGGGAGGGAGGGAGGCACGTGCTGTTGCCACCAAGCCTGGGAAAGTGGGGGCGGGAGGCGGGTGGGCGTCGGGTCCAGCCCTCCCAGAGACCAAAGGAGGTGCGTGGGGGTGGTTGGGTGGGGGGCTTCTTGAGGGAGGGATGCAGCAGCAGCGGAAGCAAAAGGCCACAGTGGGGGGAGGAGGGAAGAGAGTCCCCAGGCAAGTTCTGGTTCCCACAGCAACCGTTGCCCAGGCCTGGCACGTGTAGGTGGGACACGTTTGCTGGTGCGGTCTATGGATGTGTGGTACGCGTGCGTTGGTTGTATCCAGATGGGTTTGCCTAGACTCCCCCCCCCCCCGAGAAAGCCCTGGTTTGCTGACCTCAGAGGCCCCCAACCTTCAGGCAGGGCCCCTGGCGGTGGCTTTGTCCCTCAAAGGGAGCCACCTACAAGCATTAGCCCCCCCCCCGGCTCCGTCCTTTCTGCCCCCTCGGCCGAACTAGGGCGAAATGCCACTGCTGTCCACTTGAACTGCCCCCCAACCCGGCAACTCTGCAAGCTCTGGCCCCAAAGAGGCAGAAGGGCAGGCGGCACCTTCTGCCCCCAAGAGATTCTACCCGCTAGAAAAGCCCTCTTCCCTCTCCCTCCTGGCACAGGGTGGGCCCCCTCCACTCCCAGGGAGCAGTCTGGGCGGCTAAAGAGCAGGCCAGGCACTTGCCCCCTCCTCCCGCCGAATGAGGTGCCAGTTCCAGAGCCTCAAGTGAACCCCCCCTGCCCCATAACCGAGACCCCATCTGGAGGCTTACAGATGCCCCCTCCTGGGCAGTTTCTGTCTTGGAAGATGGCACCAGGACCACTCTTGAAGCAGGGGGCAGTGGGCCTCCAGCTTGCCTCTGGAGGGGGGGGGGGCGTCCGGACTTCCACCCTGCCCCCACCACCCACTTGCCGAGCCTCTTTGGCTGCTGAGTTCACATTTGGTTCCACGTGACTGGCCTAAAACGGGGCTGGGGCGTCGTGTGTGGCAGCAGTGCCGTTATGTGTTTTCCGGTGAGACCGGTCTATCGGGGCATCCAGGTCTACCCCAAATATGGGACAGAGCTTCCGCTTTCGCCTTTCAGCCCCAATTCCCCCTTTAATTCTTTGTCGATACAGGCCATTATCTTCGAGTGTGGCCTTGGCTAAGCAGGGGTCAGGCCAGCCAGCGCAGCTCTTCTTCTCCCAGCCCAGATGGAGGGTTTGGCACATTTTCTGACGGAGCCTCTTCCCCGCAGAAGGAGAAGCTTTGGGGGGGGGGGCGGGGATCACTCCTGGTTGGTTCTGCACCATCAACTGACTGGCTCAGACTGACCTCTGCACGTCTGAACTTGGGGAATTGGGGTGCTCCGCGTCTTCTTACAGCACTCCTTGAGACGGAGGTCTCTGCAGATCTTGACCGAGAGGATGCGCAGGGGAGCAGCCTGGTTGTGCAGGGCTCTGGGTGCGAAATCAGCTCGGACCTTGGGCTCAGAGGCCTAGAAGGAGAGAGAGAGAGAGAGAGGAAGAGAAAGAGGGCGAAGGGGAGATCTTTAACCTCCCTCCCTCCCACCCAAAGAGCGATCCAGCTCTTGGAAGCTGCTGGCGCTGTCAGGAGGGCGAGGGAAGAAGCCTTCCAGCCTGGGGTGGGATCGGGCGGCTTGCCGCATCTCCGGCTTGGAGGAGTAGCGGCGCGCAGCATAGCCTCCCATGCAGGGAAGCGCCGAGGGCTCCTCCTGGAGCGGGCCGCTCGGCTCCTCTTTCCTTGCCCGCCCTGGTCCTCCTTAGCAAGGCTTGCCCGACGAACCGGCGCTCCCGCCCAGCACGTGGCCTCCGGGCTGCTTCTGGGCTGGGCGGCCATTAGCCGGCCACGAATTCCTTGGGAAAGTGGGCCAAAATCGGCTGAAACCGAGAAGAAGCGACCCGTAACTCTCCTGCCCTGGCGGGCCGGGCCGGGAAGGGGGGCTGCGAGGCAGCGCCCGAGTCTCCGGGGGTCCCGGCGGCGCCCACCACGCCCCGCGGAGGACCGGCGGGCTGGTGGTTCCGTTTGCTGGGCTGAGCTCGGGGGGAAGGGGCGTTGCTGCGGCTGGAGGCTCGTAGGAGAGAAGGCTGAAGACAGCGGAGGGCCCCAGGCGGCTGTCCCGGTTCTGCCTGGACCGTGAGCGGGAAGCCGCAGCAGCTGGGAGAGGCCCCCGACCTGCCCCCCTTCCCCAGAAAAGGGGCGGAGCGGTGGGGCCCAGAGCAGGTCGCTGGAGAGAGAATTGGCTGACCCCCGGCGGAGACTGGGGGGGCGGAGGAATGCAAATGCACGGGTTGCACGAGAGCGGGGTGTGGGTTGGGGGGGGGGATGAGCCCCGGCTGCCCTCCCCACACAAGCAACCTGTGCGAAAGGGGGACGGGGGGCAAGGGCAGCCTCGTGGGCGCTGCCCTCTTCCCGAGTATCTCCGTGGTTCCACGGAGGGGCTGAACTTCCCAGGCCGGCTTTCCAGGGGTGGGGGAACAATTTTTTTTCTTGGGTTGCATTTGTAAGTCTTCCACAGTTCGCACAAAGCTAAAAAATTATCTTTAAGTGTATACCAGGAAATGAAAGAAATTTGTTTTATTATGTTTTTGTTTTAAGAAAGATTATTTTAAACTGCACAGAAACCTCTGGGCAACTGCATCCCTGGGCAACAGAGGAGGGGGCTTCGCGCTCTCTGGCACATGCGGAGAGAAAGCCTTTCTCCTGGGCAAGGGCAGGGAAGGCCCCGGCCTTTGAGGGGGCTGCCAGGGAACCCCTGGCCTTCACAGGGTGGGTATCTGGGGGGGGGTCTCCCAGCCCTCCCCGGGTCAGGGACAGGGCAGGCTGCTGCTGCTGCTGCTGCGGAACTCTGAAGTAGCCACCGACTGACCCCTTTGCTGGGCAGAGAAGCCAAGCTGGTCAGCTTCTGCCTTCTCTCTCCCCCCCCCCTCCATCTGTGGGTCTCGGCTTTGACAGAACTCTGTGCAATTGCTGAATAAAAGTGTCACCTCCCTGCCCCTGACCAGTGACAAAAGTTTATGGGCTGAACACTTTATCCTGAGTGGAGGAGGAGGGAGGGAGGGAGGGAGGGAGGGAGGGAGGAAGGAAGGAAGGAAGGAAGGAAGGAAGGAAGGAAGGAAGGAAGGAAGGAAGGAAGGAAGGAATAGGCCTGGGGAGGATAGTTCCAGCTTTCTGCCTGTGTTAGAAAGCAGCAGCATTTCCGCAGCCTCCCCAGCCTGGGCAAGGGGGTTCTGGCTGGGCCTTTGGTGGGCAGCCAGCCAGAGCAGCCCCCGGCCCAGGTGCCGGTAGGGAAACAGGGCGCCTCTCTCGGGCTCTTGGCTTGCCTTGCCCCCAGCGATGGTGTTGTCTCTTCCAGGTGCCAGGAGGATGCCATTGCCCGCTGCACCTTTGACCCGAGGAGGACGGTGGCTGCTGCTGCTGGCTGCGTAGGAGCCGCCTGGCCAGCGAAAGCCATGGAGCCTCAGTGCCACCCCGGTCAGGAGCAGCTGTAGCTGGGCAAAGTCTGCTGGGTGTGCCAGGCCGTTGCTCTGATGGGGCTTTCTGCCCACCAGCTTCCCGCAAGGAGCCAGCCGTGGCCGGAGCCAAGAGACTGGTGTGCACCTCCACACCCCCACGCTGGGCCGGTTTGGGAGTAGCTGCCTGGGGGCCGGTTCCAGGGATCTTCTGACCCAGAGAAAGAAGGGGGTCTCCTCTGCATCGGTCTGACCCAGTCGATGCCCACCTGCCTGCCCAGAAGGACGTGGATTGCTGGGTGTTGGGCCTCCGTGTGAGCCTCCTGCTCATCAGCCTGGGAAGTGGAGCTGCTCCGGACGGTCACCAGCCCTGCCTCCCATGGATGACTGACTCACAGCCCCGGCTGGTGGCTCCCCTTTCCCCCCCCAAGGATGCCTGCGGGCCGCCTCCCTGCTCCCAGGACTCTGCAGTGATGGTGCCCCATCGCCCCCCTGGAAGTGGGCTCCTGCTGCTGCTGCTGTTGCTGCTGTGCCTTCTGGGTGGCCCAGACCGTCTGCCCGCAGCCCAGTCTCTGCCGGGGGCATCCGGGGGGCCCAGCCCGGGGGCACCTGGGGATGGCAGTCTGCCCGGCGCTGGGCGGGTGAAGCGTGGCTGGGTCTGGAACCAGTTCTTTGTGGTGGAGGAGTACACAGGCACAGAGCCACTGTACGTGGGGAAGGTAAAGGCCGTGGGGGAGAGGGAGACAGCCCCAGTCCTGGACTCAGAACCTCTGCAGGGGGATGGGGGATGGGCGGGGGGGAGATGGCCTGGCAGCCGGGCAAGGCAGTTCCGCTCAAGGCCGGCTCCCCTGGGGAGGACCTGGCCTTGGCAGCTTCTAGAGGTAGCTTAGTAACCACCTCGTTTCCTGCAGCAGCCAGAACCCCAAAGTCGCCCGTCCGGCAGCCCTTTCCGCCACGGGAGCTGCAGCCCCCGGAAGCCACCCAGCCCTGCAGAAGACGGGGGTGCAGGCAGCAGAGCACAGGAAGCCCCCCCCCCCACTTCTACTGGCTGGACAGGAGTAGCCTTTCCCCCGATCAGCATGCCCCTGCCGGAGTGGGTCCCCTCCTCCTCCTCTGCCCCCTCCCACAAACCGGCTCACCAAAGACGCCTAATAACATTTTCATAAAATCTGGATATTCGCTCCAATCCTTTTTCTGAGAGGGAATTTCTCTGGAGGCCCTGGAGGGTGGATGTGGATTTTTGTGTTTTTAAAATAGAATTATGGGGTCAGAATGAGTTACAAAGTTGTGCTGGTTGGACAGATCTATTTTAGATAGAGGAGGGGATTAAAGGGGAAAAACGGATTTAATTAAGTTGCTACCATTTAAAAGGAATTGAGTTGGGTTTATGAGTTGGAGCAAACACCAAAGCGCCTTTCATTAAGGGCAGCTTTTATGTCCGTTCTTTTCTCTCTCCATCCCTGGGTCGTTCTGTATTTGGGAATCTCTTTATCCTCTCTCCGAAAGCGCTGCTCTGCTCAAATTTAATTTTGATTTAATTAGCGAGGTAATTGATGGCATCGCAGAATCCCAGGCAGTTGCCCTTCAGGGGAGCCGCCCTTTTGCTTGGCCAGAGGGGGGGGGGCAACCCAGGGCAGATGGCCGCTGCGCTAGCCTTCCCAAATTGGGGAGGGGCCGGGGGTCACTGGGCGGTCAGAGCTGGCATGACCAGGGCCAGACCAGTTGGCCAAGGGTGGGTGAGCAGGGCCCTCCTGGGGGGGGGGGGCTGGTTGCAATGCCCAGCTCTGCCACCGTGTCCAGTGAGGCCGGAACGAGGAGGAGGAGGAGGAGGCCCAACCCCAGGTCTTCAGAGAGGCTCTTGTGGCATTTTGTGCTTCCCGAAACGGTTTTGCCAGGCAGCCCAGCCCCGTCTCCTGCAAGGTCAAATGCTTTCCTTGGCCTGCTCTGCAGGGCTGCCAGTGGTTTCTTGCACCAGCAGGCCTGGGGGGGGAGTGTTCTGTGCTGCCAGCAGTCACACCGAGCTCTCCCCCCAGCTTCTGCATGTGGAAGCAGCTGAGAGGGAAAGAAGGAAGTGGCGGATGGGCTTCCCCTTTCCTTCCACGAAGAGATTCCTGCAGTGCAAAGTCTTTTCATTAGGTCAGCTCTACATTTCTTTGCAGAAGGCTACAGTCGTTCCTTATTGCATCCCATAATAGCACCTACAGGGTGTAGAGGTTCAGCTGTCCCCTGCTTCTCTCTGACCCTAAGGTGAGAGTGGCAGGTGCCGAATGCCCCTCCCCAAGGCATCTCCAAAGGGCGCCTCCTCCAGTGGCCCTAGAGAGGCGGGGAGAGACCTGGGAGGCCCAGGGCCTCTGCCCCACCGCCTCTTCTCTGCAGGGAGGATCGGCTCCCTAAACTGGCTCTCAGCCTTGATGGAAGTCAGTTCCTCTAAAGACTCCTGCAGCTGTGCCCGAACATCTGGCTCCCCAAAGGGCCACTGGGACGGGAAGGCACTTTCCATGGGGCCCTGCCTCCAAGGGGGCTTCTTGGGACTGGACACGCCATTGCCAAGAGGGCTCTCCTCGTCCCTGTGTCCATCGTCCCCTGAATAGGCCAAAACTGGTCAAGGGTCAAGAGACCGTATTGTAGGCCGGGCAGCCGTAAGAGTGGCCCGGGTCCCCCCTCCACCCCACAGACGTCTAGCCCATGAGCCGATCCAGTCTCTGATCTGGCCAGAACCCCCTTTTCCCCCAGGCCAGAAATTCACCCGCTGTTCTGGGCAAACCGTTCTTGAGAGCCTCCAGAGTGGGAGGCGCTCCGTGGAGACTTTGTCCCAATTTGGAGTTGGGCTCTCTTGTCAGCATCCGCCCGTTGCTCCTCCTGCCTTTGGGCATCACGGAGGATAAATCCACCCCCTCTTCACCTGTTGAAAGGCCGCCATGTCTTCCCTCGGCTTCCTCTTCCTTAGACGAAGCCCCAAATTCTCTTCCTGGGACTTAAACCCCCAGCCCCTCACCGTCCTCCGTGCTCCTCTCTGCACCCTTGCCAGGACTTCAGCATCCTTTCTGGTATTGCGGGGAAGGTAGCTGGTCACAATATTCCCACCCGTGGGCTCGTCAGTGCTGACATTTTGGGTATTGTTGACACCGTGCGGCTGTGGGCCCAGCCCAGGAGTGCGTTGGTTTTCTGGCTCACATTTAATCTGCATCGCCCAGATTCTTCTCATAAGGATTGTCGCTGGGCCGAGTCCCCTGTCCTCTGCCTCTTGCGCCTGTTTTTTTCCTGTCTGAGTGCAGAATCTGTATTTCTCACCGATGAACATGGTGAGGCCTCAGGGCCAGTGTTGAAAGTCTGTCGGGATCTTTCTGAGCCTCGAGCATGTCTTCTGGAGCGCTAGCAACCCCTCCCCCCGGCTTTGTGTCCCCCAGAATGTCTTCTAGGAACATCTCTTCCGTTCCCTCACCTAAGTCTTTCGTGAAGGTCGGAGACAGAACCCCGGGGTGCCCTCCTGCACCTCCCTCCTTCCAGGTGGACCCTTAAGGGCCACATGCTGTCCACAGTCATTCAGTCAACTGCAAATCCATCTGGGAATGAGGCTGTCCCATCTCTCACTGTTCCGGTTTATCAATGAGACTGTGGTCTATCGGATGTCTTACTGAAGTCTGAGCACAGGGCTTCGTTCCCTTGGTCCACCAATCAAGTATCACATGGTCAAAGAATTTAATTTTATTTACATTAATTTAAAGAAAGCAGTAAGCTTCGTCGACATGACCCGTGCCAACAGATCTGGGAAACCACCTTGCCCCTTTCCAAACGGCTTCATTATATTTTCTAGGATTTTCCTAGGTATGGATGTCAAGGTGACCGGTCTTCGTTTCCCAAGTCTGCTGGGTTCCCCCCTTTCTGAAATATTGCAACAAGACTGGCTCTCCCGTCTTCTGGGCTTCTCTAGGCAGAGTTCAGCCAGTTGCTCTGAGACGGTGCCCAGCAGTTCCTCTGGGACACTCTGGGACCTGCCCTCCATCTGGCCCAGGAGGATGGAGTCCATTCGGAGCCTCGATGGCCTTCATTCCTCATTGTTCCACAGCAAGAAGCTGCCGCCCGTGTCGCTGGGAGGCCGGGGGACTGCTTGGCGCAGGGGGTCCCCAGGGCATCCCACCTTGGGGACAAGGCAGCGGCGGGTTGAAAGGGAACGGGAACTGCTGTTCAATGTGGGTCCCTGGTTGAAAGTCAGCCATACAATGGACATTGTATGCCTTCTGAGGGATGCTGGGGTTTGTGTGTGTGTGTGTGTGTGTGTGTGTGTGTTGGGCTGAGCTTCCTCTTTAGATCCTAGCAGTGTGAGACCCTTTTTGACTGGCTGGGCAGCAGCTGCCTTGAAGTTTGGCTTTTGGGGCGACTGGTGGGTTGGCATTTGGGCTAAGGCAGCCCTCACCCTGCTTCCATGTCTTCTTTCCCCTCCCCACCGAGGAAGATAGAGGCATAAAGGGTCCCTAACAAGACAAATAGAGCGGGGGGGGGGGGGAGGCTTGTGAAAGTGGCCACTGGGGATAAATTCTGGCTGCTGCAGCCGCTTCAGACTCTGGAAGAAGAATGAGCGGCCCATAAACCTCCTCATATTTCATTAGCCAATTAATGGGAGACTCGCAGTTTTGGCAACTTTGCTGATTCTCAGCAGAAATGGTGGGCAGGAAACAAGGGTGAGGCTCCTCCAGAAGCAGGTCCCATTAGGCACCCTCCAATTAAGGCCTGGCACAAGGCATCCCTCCCCTCCCGATTGATTTCTCACAAGTGGCTGGATTCTAAAAGCCTCGTAACTCAGTTTAATGCCGCCTATAAAACTTTATCAGGAAATTTGGCCCCATGTCTGGGCACTCAGGAGGTCAAAGGGAGTTAAGCTCTGCCTTTCCTTGCTTTCTGGCACACATACACACAAAGTGTGTGTGTGTGTCAGAGAGAGAGGCAGAGGCAAGGAGACTAGAGGAGGGTTGGGGCAGGCAGCCCTTGGGCAAAAGTCCCTGGTGCTGGGTGCCAACCGCAACTGAGCTCTGCCCTCTGGCCCTCCCCTCCTTGCCTCCCAGGCCTGGGGGAAGCCCAGTGTTCGGGGTCCGGCTCCTGAGCCCTCTGCCCGGCCCAAGAAGCACAGCCTGGGGGAAGCTATCTGGCTCCGAGGAAGGAGAAGCATCCAGCCAACACCAACTGGGTCTGGGAAGCTCGGGACCCCACAGACCCCAAGGACCGGCCAGGATTAGGAGGGGATCCCACTTCCTGAAAGATGGTAGTGGGTTAGAGTCCATTTGGAAGAGGATAACGGAGGAACCAGGGTCTTGAAGACATGTCCCGCCAGGAGAAACAGAAACAGGGAAAGTGGCCAGGGAATAATTGAGACGCCCCCGCTTGGAGTTAGCGTAACTGTCCTGAAGGTGAGGTACAAAAGAGTCTCCCTGGGGAGGCTGGGGGCTCTCGCACCTCTGCAGCCCTTGAAGAGGAGGCTGGACAGCCACCCAGCGTGCACGGGCGTGGCTGAATTGGACCTGACGCTTAGACTTACACCGTACACCGCTTCATGGTGCCCTCTCTAAGCGGCTATTTAGTGACGCTCGCGGTCTTTTCCAGCTCCACCTTTCGTGATTCCCGGTGAAGAAGGCTTGAGGAGGGACCCCCCCCCTTGGCCAGGTTTTCCCCTTCTCAATTTCTTGGCTGCCCTGGGAGAAACAGCGGGGGGGGGAGAGCTTTTTGGGAGCTGATACCTATACTGGTGGGCCCTGGGCAGAGGCAGAATGCTACCAAGCAGGATGTGCCCCCTCCTCACGTGTCCTTTCCGAGGAGGGGGCAGCACTGAGCCGGCAGTGAATAAATGTGAGCAGCAGCTGCGGCCCCCTGGGGATGGGCCTTGGGTTCCGCCAGGGTCCTCCGGGAATAAGAAAGAGGACAGCCGAAACGCTCATCTGGCTGCGGGAGAAGCTGGGGGAGGCTCTGCAGGCAGAAGGATGGGGGCAGCCGCCTGGAACGCAGGAGGGAAGGTGGCCGCACAGCCCAAAGCCAACCGAGAGACAGTCAGAGGAGAAGAGAAGGGGGGGAGCAGCCGGGCGGGCAGAGAGAACCAGAGGAGAGGCTGTGTTTCACCGGGGCTGGTGAAGGGCAGGAGCTGAGCCCCAGATCGACAGGAACAGATCAGGGAATCTGCTTTACTCCGGCTTACACGTCCAGGCCCAGAGGGGAGGCCTCCTACGGCCCTGAAGGAACAGGCTGGTGTTTTTGCTCTGGCCCTTCGCTGTGATCTCTGACCAGCAAGACTTCAGCTTGTCCCTTCAGGCCATAGGAGTCCTCTGAAGTGATAAAATGGCAGAGCTGGGAGGGGGGGATCCAGGGGGCTTCGGTCAGGCATGGGGGTAGGGGAAGAAGGGGGACAGGCCAGTCAGTGCCTTGAAAGCCACAGTGGTCATCATCAGCATCTGAAGTCAGCAGGGCAACTCTTGGCAGGTTAAACTTTTATTGTTCTTTTAGGCAAACATCCTCCTTAGTAGATGTGAATGCAGAATGTCTTGATTTCTGCAGCTTCAATCAGAGAAGAGCTGAAAGGGACCTTGGAAGTCTTCTAGTCCAACCTCCTGCTCAAGCAGGAGACCCTATACCATTTCGGACAAATGGCTGTCGAGTCTCTTCTTAAAAACCTCCAGTGATGGAGCACCTGCAACTTTTGGTGGCAAGCTGTTCCGCTGGTTAGTTGTCCTTACTGTTAGGAAGTTTCTCCTTAACTTCTCTCTTTTGATTAGTTTCCATCCGCTGTTTCTTGTCCTGTTTTCTGGTGCTTTGGAAAATAATTTGATCTCCTCCTCCTTGTGGTAGCCTCTCAAATACTGGAATAATGCTATCGTGTCACCCCTATTTCTTATTTTCTCTAGACTGGCCATTCCCAAATCCTGCAACTGTTCTTTATATGTTTTAGTCTCCAGGTCTTTAATCATCTTAGCTGCTCTTCTTTGTACTTTTTCCAAAATCTCAGCATCTTTTTTGTAATGTGCTGACCAGAACTGGGTGCAGGATTCCAGGTGTGGTCTTAGTAAACCTTTATAAAGTGGTACTAAGACTTTGCATGATCTTGATTCTATGCCTCTGTTTATACAACCCAGGATTGTATTAGTTTTTTTGGCTGCTGCTGCACACTGCTGGCTCATCATCCACTAGGATTCCCAAGTTCTTCTCACAGTGGCTGTTATTGAGCCAGATTTTGCCTAATCTGTACCCGTACCTTTGATTTTTCCTGCCTAAATGTAAGACTTTGCTTTCCTCCACACTGAAACTCATGTTGTTGGGTAGGGCCCATTGTTCCAGTCTGTCAAGATCTTTTTGGATCCTGAGTTTGCCTTCTGGGGTGTTGGCTACTCCTGCCAGTTTGGTGCCCTCTGCAAATTTGATGAGTTCCCCTTCAATTCCCTCCTCTAAGTCATTGATGAAGATATTGAAGAGTCCTGGGCTCAGGACGGAGCCTTGTGGTGCCCCATTGCTTACTTCCCTCCATGTGGATGCAGGTCCATTAACTTAATAGCTAAGCTATTTCATGACATTTGGATTAGCAGGTGGGCTGGATGGCTTAGGAAATAGAAACCCAGCAATTGGCTCAGAAACCTGTGTCAGGTTTTCAGTGGGGCACAGAAGAGCAGCTCCTGGTTCAGCATCTCATTAAGGACTTGGGTGAAGTGAAGCCAGCCTACCTGCCGGATCTGTGGATCTTTGGGAGAGAGAACAGCAGTAAGATTCAAGCCTTTCCAGGGTTCCCCCCCCCAAAGTCAGCTTTTGGTTGGTATGGATTATAGAAATAGGTATGGATTAGATACAGATGGAGCTCTTGGTTAGAGAAATGGACTGAACACCAGAAGAGACAAGCGCAATGTTCTTCCTTCAGGAATCAAATGCAGGTAATGACGTTCTTGCCGGTTCAGCCACCTGGCTGACCCATGACCTGGTTAGGCTTCCTCAGGGGCCTGGGATTGGTGGTCTGGTGCCTGGGGATTGCTCTGCAGGGTTAAGGGGGGGCTGAGGGTCCCCCTTGTCTGAAGAGAAAACCTAAATCCGGTTTCTGCCAAAGGGGTGATCTGGAGTGACTCCCCAGAGGGAACTCTCTGGGTGGCTTTGCCTCTGGGCCAGGGGGACGGCCACCTGCTGCGCACTTCTGAGGCTGCTTGGATGTCGCCCGGGAGCCTCTGGCCTTGGCTGAGACCCCCTTTTCAATGGATCGCAGCCTAGCTGTGCGGCAGAGGTGCCCTTCCTCCAGAGTGTCTCTTGCAGAGGCTTCCATATGGCCACCCAGGGACGTTGGGCAAGAGGCCGGGAGGTGGCCCCTGAAGATTCTCAGGGGAGGTGGGGTTCTCCTCAGAGGGGACCCCCAGGCAGGCCCTCTCCCCACTGAATTAATGAACAGCAGCCCCCAGCAGGAGTGGGCTGGGTGGGCCAGTGTGAAGCCTCCCCAGTGGCTTGTTTCTGCAGCATCAATGCAACCAGGCACTGGGAAACCTAGACTTGCCTGAAGGAGGTGGCCCAGCATGCCTCCCCCAGAGAGAGAGCGGGCAAGGTGAGGGGCGAGACCTCTGCCTTCAAGAGAAGGGAGGCCACGAGAGGGAGGCCAAGGAGATGGGAAGAGGAGGGTCTGCAGGGTGGTTTCTGCTTCCTGGGAGGCAGCCCCCTGCCCGTCCGCCCGGCTGGCTCCTCTTTTAAGCACTAGGCGGCCCTTCCCCCAGGAAGCCCTGATGGCCAGGCCAAGGTTGCTGGATGAGGGCTGAGGTGGGGATGTGCGCCCATCTCCTGCGAGGCCTCCCTGCTGGGCCCCAGTCGTAGCTGCCCGCCCTGCGCCTGACCTCCGCACGTCTCCCCTAGATTCACTCGGACTCCGACGAGGGGGACGGCTCCATCAAGTACACCATCTCCGGGGAGGGGGCCGGCACCATCTTCCTGATCGATGAGCTGACGGGGGACATTCACGCCACGGAGCGCCTGGATCGCGAGCGGAAAACCTTCTACACGCTGCGGGCTCAGGCGCGGGACCGCCAGACCAACCGGCTGCTGGAGCCCGAGTCGGAATTTGTCATCAAGGTGCAGGACATCAATGACAGTGAACCTCGGTTCCTGGGGGGGCCCTACATCGGGAGCGTGGCCGAGCTCTCCCCCATTGGTGAGTCCCGGCGGTGCCCGGCCAGCTCTGCACCCTCCCCTCAAGCAGCCAGGGCCACGGGGGAGGGGGAGCGCCTGCCCAGGTCTGGAGTGTCCAGTGGGCACCGGGCTCTCTTTGGCCCCTTTGCCCCCAGCACAGCAGGCCTGGCGCCTGACCCAGGTTGCTGCAGCTTGAGGGGGAAGCGTTTATTTACAGCTGGAAGCGCAAATGAGGGTTTAAAGCTGAACCCCCAAATAAATGAGGTGGTATTCCAGGAAATGGCACAATGGGGCAGTCTTTTCTCCAGCCCCGCAGCCCCCACCTAGAGTTGTGTCTGTCTTGGGGGATCAGTCCTTTGCAAGGAGCAGCAAGGGGAGGGAGGGGGGCCCAAATAATCCCTCTGTGTCTCTTCAAAAGCACCCACCCGGTGCCCCCTTACTTGCGAGTTAGGGTGGATATATTTATTGTGCAGCCCTGGAAAATGAGCCCCACACATTGCTGGTCTGCCAGGACTGGGGTGAGCCCATTTCAGGGCTTCTCTTGCCCACCAGTGAAGCCTCAGCCTGAACCCACACAGGGAGCCCGGCCAAGCCCCAGCCCGGCTCTGGAGACAGGCGCCAGGAAGGGCAGCGGTGAAGAGACAGCCCAGGCATTTTTCAGGCGGGCCCCAAGTTCGAGAATCCGTAAGCGCTGACAGTTAGTCACTCAATCCATCTCACGCTCCTGGACCTCGCCGGGCTGACGGTTTTGATCTGCTTGGGGTCTTTCTAGGACTGTTTACCAATTGGCTGGTGGTGTTTTGTCTATAAGGAAACATTCAATGTTGTTGTTGTTGTTGTTGTTCTGCTTCCCCCTTGAGAAGGAGCTGCTGGGCATCACTGGGGCCGAGGCTCCTGCCCCAGGTGCGGATTCTTTCAGCACAGCTCCTGAGCCCCAGACCTTCCCTGCCCCCTTCTGGGAGAGCAGGCAGGCAGCGGAAGGCAGCCGTGGGCCCCTCTGGGGCTCCGAGGGGTGGGGGGTTCAGGTGGTCTCAGGGGAGACTTCCTCCTTTGAAAATGGCCCGGGGTCTTCAGGCATTCCAGGAAGCAGCAGCTGTGCCAGGTGGGGGGGGGCAGGGCAGAGCGAACATCCTTTGCCAAGGCGAAACAAAGGGGCTCCTGCGAAGGGAGGGGCTGTTATGCCCGGCGGCCTCCAAGGGACTCGGGAAGCGCCACGCTGAGCTGGCAGGGCTGGAGCCGTGGGGGTGGGCAGCTCTGATCTTCCTGCCGGTTCCCTGCCTTTGTTTGTCTTGCTGATTGCAGCAGCAAACGCGAGTCCAGCTGCCTGTCCTTGCGGAGCCTCCTCCTTCAGCACTAGCAACCTGTTTTAAGCACGTCACGGCCACAAAAGATGCGGCCACGCCTATGGGCAAGGGGGCTTAGTAGCAGCGTCCCCCCACCTACCGGGCACTGCATCCACCAGGAGCCTCTTCCTGGGCTTCCCAGGGTGGCATAGGGCAGGGAGGAGGGCTGCCGCTGCCCTTGGCAAAGCGTTGCCCGGGTTTGCCAGGAGCAGAATCCAGGGTGCACAGAAGGAGCCCTGAACAGAGCAGATGGAGGGGGGCAATTCTGCCTCATGCAATTGAACACCCCCTCCCCCAGAACAGGAATTCACTCCACTGGCCAACCACACTTTGACTAACAGTTCTTGCCAGCAGCTTTTCAGGTGTGTGTGGGGGGGTGTACAAGAGGGCAAATAACAGAGCAGGCTGGCAAGGATGGGACACACATTCCACCCCTGTTGCAGGTGTGTCGCATACAGGTTTGACAGGTGCACGAGTTGTGTCTCTTCAGACTTTTCACCTTTGCAAGCTGACCCTGCCCGGCTCCTTCAGCCCTTCCCCAGGACCGGCTTTCCCTCCCCCTGCTGGCAACTCTTCTGGGAACCCGCCCCAGCTTCTGCGTGTCCCTCTGAAAGTGGGGTGCCCAGAACTGGACTCGGGGCTCACCTCCAGCCCAACCAGCACAACAGACACACCATCTCCTGGGCAGCCCCAGATTGCTTTGGCCTTTTGAGCTGCAGCATCTCCTGGTTGGCTCGGTCTTGGCTGGCGGTCCTTTGGCACCCCTGGATTGGCACCTGGATCCGTCTCACATGGACTGCCACGAGGACTGGGCCCAATCCTGGACTGTCCCGCTGGTTCCTCGTATCCGGAGGCCAGACCCTCCAAGGGGATCCTGTCCACCGTTAAGAGTGTTTCACGTTTCTGCTCTTCCTGGGCAGTTTGTCGTGTTGTTTTTATTCTGTCCTGCTTTCCTACTTTCCTTTCTCCCTGTGCAAATGCTCTGCTGGGGGCCGTCAGCCCCCTCTGCGGCCCCTCATCTTCTTCAGACACCAGAGACCCCTTCCCGCTCCTCCAGATCCCTGCTGCCTGTTTGTCAGAAGGGGAAGGAGGTCAGATCTGGGGGGCAGCCAGGCCAGAGAGCTGCCTTAACAAGCCGGGGCTTAAGACCCGTGGCTTGATGGGGGCCGCCTGATGGGCCTTGGTCCCCTTTCAAGGGCAGCCTTCACCGGAGGAGGCAGTGGGCTGGCAGACGGGGTGGGGGCTGCAGCCAGGCCCTTCCTGCTGCTCACCTGCCCCCCCTTCTCTTCCGGCAGGGACCTCGGTGATGCAGGTCATGGCCTCCGATGCGGACGACCCCAGCTACGGGAGCAGCGCTCGGGTGGTCTACAGCGTCCTGGAGGGGGAGCGCCACTTCACCGTGGACAGCAAGACCGGTAAGGGCCAGCGGGTCCCCTGGGCCCCCCAGAGGAAAGGCAGGTGGCAGGAAGGGCTTCAGGTGCCCTGGCCGGAGCGGTCTGCTTGCGCGTATGTGCGTGTGTGTGGTTCAGATCCCTGGCCTGTTCCTCCCCCCCCCTTAGTAGCAGACAGGCCGGTTCTGGTTCTCAGAATCCTCCGGAGCAGCTGCCCCCCTGGACTCTTTGGGGGGAGCTACGTGTGGGAGGGAGCAGGGCAGCCCCCCTCCTCAGTTTTCCAGAGTTGCCTGGTTAGCATCAGGCCTTTGATTAAAGGTAACACTTTAAATTAAGGATTGCTTTATAAATGCTCTATTAATATTTAATGAATGAACAGTGGAAGCCGCTCCATCCTTTAATAACTCCTAATAAAGCTGCTGTAAAAATCTGTCTGTGATGAATCCAAGCAGATGATGTCACCGCGAGGGGCCGGGAGCCAAGGCGAGGGGGCTTCCCAGGCGGGGGGGGGGAAGCGAGGGGGGCAGCAGTTTCCTCCCTCTGCCCCAGCCCCCTCATCCCTCAGGAGAGCAGCAGGCCCCACCTCAAACAGACCCCCCCCACCAGGACACCCCCCCCAGTTGTGAAAGTTGAGGGAGGTGCCCCAGGCCAGAGAGGGGGCAGCAACACGGGTCAGGGGAGGCATGGGGTGGGGCAATGGGGGAACCGGGGTGTGTGTGTGTTCTCTTTCTCCTAAGGGGGAGCACCCAGATAGAGACCCAGAAGGACCACAGTCCCCCTTCGGGTCCTGTGGCGGCAGCCGTGACCTGCAGGCATCTCTGAGGGGCAGTGGGGCAGGCGGTGGGGCTGTGGCCTTTGCCCTGCCCCAAAGGGCTGTGAAGGAGGAGGTGGGGCTGGGGGAGAAGCATATCTGCCACCCGCTCCCCCCAATGGACCCGTCCTTGGCCCCAGGGCTGTTCACCTTTCCATCGGAGGCAAAGACCCCGTGCAGCCTGGGGGCTCTCGGCTGCCGCTGCCCCACTGAAGTGGCCGGAGGTGGAGGGGCTCTTAGGAGGGGCCCACTGGGTTTCCGCTGGTCTTCGGCAGGCCAAAGGTCCTGCCTTAACAGCCCAGGGGTCTCTTTCGGGGGAGGGTCTTTGCTTTCCTTTGGGAAACATTTGTCGGGAGCGGCTCTAGGGGGACCCAGACCAGCAGGCCCACCAGCCAGCCCCCTTCAGCCAGGCCCAGGTGGAAAACAAGCTGCTTTGGATGCAGAGCCAGAAAGGAGGGGGGGCTACCTTCCCAGTGGGGCAGGGGGTGGGGGGGGGCTTCTTCTCCAGCAGGGAAGGCCAGAGGGCAGCAGGCGGGTGAATGTGGAGGCTCGCCCAGCTTCCTCCCAACCTGTCCAAGCCAGTCCTGAGAAACGGGATGCCGCCAGCCACCCCCGGATGGTCCGAGACTCTGCGCAGGCACTGGTCCTTCCCCTCCTGAGCCCCCCCCAGACGTTGGCCTTCACCTCCGGGCAGCAGGAGGCCTCTGGGTGCAACTGAGAGCACCAGACACTGGGAAAGGTGCCTGGGCACCAGGCATTGCCAGGCTGGGACTTTCTGCTGTGCAGGGGCCACTGGGGGGGGGGCTGGAAACCCCTCTCTTCCCCCCATCTCAAGGCGAGGATGGGGGGCAGCTGCTCCTGGCTGGGTCCTCCTACCTGCAGGCTCCCCTTCTGTGTTTGTGGGGGGGAGGAAAGCCCCCCCTTTCCTGGCCCAGCAGCCAAGCCATGGGCTGTACCTGAGCCAGCCGAGCTGCCCTGGGGCCCCCCAGCCCCCTCCCGTTCCGGGGCTGAGCGCATCTCCCGCCATGCACCAGGCAGAGCCTTCCTGGGCCTGGAGCTCACGGTTTAAGTGCCCGGATCGGCAGCTTAACTCGCAGAGCCATCGTGATCATTAATGCTGTAAAAGGAGCCATAAAATCTGGCACATTCATTTTTTGTAATATATGATAATGAGAGCTGTTTGCGTTTCCTTTTTGACTTTGACCTGATTTCTCTTCTCCTGCACATCCAGGGAGGCCCGAGAGGACCACCTCAGCTGCTGCCTCGGCTGCACGGGGTGCCCAGGGCCAACATGGGGGCAGCGACACCCTCGCACAAATGCGCTTGGGAGGCGCCTGTGCGTGTAGGCGATAGTCTGGGCAGTGCGCCTCCCTCGCCTGCCCTGCTTCCAGAAAGGTTCCTGTGACGGCCTGTGGGAACCACCTGGGAACCTGGGAAAAGGGAATCGGCCGAGGGATGGCCAGAGAAGAGGCGGAGTAGCCGGCAGGTGCATAGTGGGCGGGGCCACAGGCTCAGAAGAGACCCTCCCTAGTTTCTTGGGCTGTAAAGGAGAAAGGAGGATAATTATTCTGTTAACATAAAATAAGGTAGAATTCCCTCATCTGACAGCAATCTTGCAAGTCCAAAAGCTTTCCTCCCCCCCACTCAAGAACTCAGGGAGGGGTCCTCCCGGAGCCTCCTGACCCGCCCCCTGCCAGCTGCAGGCCTTGCCGTCTCTGCCTTGACCGTCCCCTCGGCTGCCTTTCTTGGCCCAGGATCCCGGTTTTTCCCACATAATCAACACCCCTCCTGACCAGGCTGAGCGGGGTGGATGTGGTGGAAAGCTCCACGCTGTACCCACCAGGCAGGGGAGGAGGGCCAGCCGAGCATGAACGCCCACAGTTTTGGCAAGGGGACTGGGGTGAAGTGGCTGTGGCCAGGCAGCCACGGCCAATTGTCCTAGGCACTTTCTGAAGGGCCCCTGCAGGGGAGCCAGGAAAGCCCCGGGCGGTGGGAGGCACTAGTGGCTAGTCTTGTCTTGAAAGGGAGGGAGGGAGGCGCCTGCCTCCACACAGCCTCCCAGCCCCCCCCCTTTGCAAGTTCCCACTTCACTAACCTGAATTGGAGGCAACTATCTAACAATGAGACCACTTTGGTTTCAGTGTCAAGCCCGATGCAAAGGGGGGGGGTCACCCCCACCCCTGCTTGGCCCTGGAACCCCCATGGAGCAGGTTGCTTTTGCTAGTGGCGTCTCTGGAGGAGAGAACACACCGGCTGCTCCAGGCTGCTCAGCTCAGGCAGTCTCTGCGTGGGTCACGTGGCCAGTGCTGCCCAGACGTAGACGTGGGGAAGCATCTGCCTTCGTTCACCCCATCGGTCCCTGCTCACACAGCCCCGGGCAAAGCTCTGGCTGCAGGTGGAGGAGGCCCCACAGCTGCCCCTGGGCCTTCCTCCCAGTAGAGGTCTCTGCTTGGGGCATCCTTCCCTCTCCCCCCTCCCTCCCTCCTCTTGCAAGACTTCAAAGAGCACCAGTTCTATCAGAGGCTGCCCTCCCCCCTTTTCCTCCTCCACATCTTTCTTAATTTAAAGGCTTCCACCCACTGCCCACCCAGAAAGCTTTGAGCTGGTTGAGATCCTGGTTGGCTGTGGCTGCTGGGGGGGCAACTGGGCCAGGCCAGGGCCTGCAGGGCCTCCCAGGAAGTGCCTCCTGCCCCTCCCCCACACAATGGCTGTGGGTCCCCCCTTGCATTTCCTCCCCCCCCTTCAGGCCCCCAGCCCTTTTTTCAAGGGAGCAGCTAGGACTGCCTGGCTGAGCAGCTGCAGAAGATCTGGGGAGTGTCAAATGTGGCCATCTTCACTTCCGTGCATTTTATTTGTGCTTCATGTTGTGTATTGTACGTTTTTTATTTTTATGGTATGGGTGTTTTAGCCCATATCTGTTCTCTGCAAGCTGCCAGGAGTCCTCTTGGATTGCAGTGGGGTGGAAATGGGTTTCATAAAGGGAGGCAGCCACGGGTGCAGGCCTGCCCATCTGTCGGCGCCCCGTGCCCAGGGCCAGGAGGAAATGCCCGGTGGGAATGGGAGGCAGCTGGGCTCTGCTCTGGGGGGGCTTACTGCGCCCTAGAGGCCACCCCACCCACTCCGCCTGTCCCTCTCCTGGGTCCGGGCTCCGTGGTCTCCTGGCCAGGCTCGGACAGGGGAGGCAAGGGTGCCCTTCGGCCTTCCTGGGCAGAGCCTGGACGCCCCGCTGGGCCCCTCTGCCCATGGCATCCCTGCTGATGTCCCTTCCTCTGGCCAGCTCCCCCCCCCGTCCCCAGGCGGAGACAGAGGCCTTGCCGGCCTGTCCCTCTTTGGGAGGGAGGGGCTGCAGCAAGGGAGGGGCTCTGCCTCTCGGGACCTGTGGACCCCCGGGGGCTAGGTGGCCTGGCTGGCTGGCCAATTGTGGCCATCTTCCTCCACTTAGCAAAGTGACCCCAAAGCGCACCCCTTTCTTGCCGGCCGGGTTCAAAGGGGCTCAGCATGTCAGGAGGAGCCAGGTTCCCCCATTAGACCACACCGGGGTCTTTCGGGCCACGCATGTCGCAGGAACATCGTGATTCTCTCTCGACTTCAGGGCGGCAGCTCAGGGCAGCTCCTGCTGGGTATTTACGGGAAAGTCTAGATTATTCTTAACAAATCGCAAAGTCTTTGCAAAACGTAACGTACCAAACCACAAAAGTCGAAAGATTTCCAGGGGACACATCGGAGGGTGCCGGGAGCTTGGAGGACAACAACGGGTGCGCTTCAGCCACCGGCCCAGCTGAAGTGCCACAGATGCCAGACGCTTCCCTGCTGGGAGGAAGTCCAAGGCTGGGCGGCTTTTATCGCCCCTCAACGCATCTCCTCCCTTTCTAAACTGGATGGACGTCACTAGGTCTTGTAGCAGCAAATGCCGGGGCACTGTGGAGGCAGATCTCTTTCGTCCATCTGGAATCTGCCGGCACTCGGATTAAAAGAATCCTTGTGTGGAGTGGGCTGTTTCTGTTTTTTCTGAGTTTGTCAGAAGAACTGATCTCTTGTCGTCACCATCTGCCACTTCTTTGAGCCTCCTTTCTTGGGGGAAAAAGGGTTTTGGCACAGACGTTTTCTCTACATCCTCTGCCATTGGCTTCCTCTTGCCTCGGCGCCTCGTTAACCCCTCCTGATCCAGAGTCCCAACCGCCGTCTTAGCCGAGTTCCAGTTTCCGTGCATCAGTGAGATGCTTCTCAAAATCCCTTTATTCCCTTTCTTTAAGTCTGTAGTTCTTCGCTGGGACCTCTGCGCTTCACAAACCTGGGGACCTGCAGCTGCGCAGAACCCCTGGGAAGGCCGACGGCCTGGTTGGGCAACAGCCCCCCTGCCCCAGCACTGCTTGTTTGGCCTGGCCAGTCCCAGCTCTTCCTCAGAAGCCCTGAGAGGGGCCCATCGGGACGCCCCCTCCCCTCCACCCATGAATCCACCTATCCTGCTTGGTCTCAAGTGACCGTGTGGCTCCTGGATGGATAGATCCCATGGGTGGATGGATGGATGGATGGATGGATGGATGTTGTGCCTTCAAGTCATTTTTGACTCCTAGTGACCTCATGCATTGACCTTCTCCAGGACGGTGTGCAGGGGGCTGGACTAGAAGACCTTCAAGGTCCCTTCCAGCTCTATTCTATTCTACTCTAGCCTCTTCTTCAAGGCTCCCGGTGGCTGTCCTGCTGGGTCTGTCTGAGGGCCGAAGGGTCTGCCTGAGGCCAGGCCTGGCTGAAGGCTTTGCCCGTGCATGTTGTGTGGAGGGTGAGGGGCTTCCTGGCTGGCGGGGACCCAAAGAGGGAGGAGGGTGGTCTGAGGAGCCCCCGGTTCTCCCTGTCTGCTCTTCTCCGGACAGCCTCCTTTTGCCAGCAGCCTCCTCGGAAAGGGATTTCTGCCTGCTGCCTTCCTGCCAGGGCCGTGCCCCACTGTTCTTAAGTACAGTAATTTGGAGGATCTGAAAAATGTTCCCTGTTTGTTGTGACCAGAAATCCTATTTCTCTGGTCTGCGTGGGAGTTGCCTACGAGGGCAGCATTTTCACGCCTTGATTTGGTTGCTGTTGCCAAGATGAAGGCAAACCTTTTGCTGCAGCCGGTGAGAGCCTTCCTCCTGGACGGATGGACGGACATGGCAGTGCCCCCCTCTGGGCTCCGTTAAAGGGGTCCCACGGGTGGGGGGGCTTGCCTCCTCAAGACCCCACGCTCAGCAGCCCCTCCCCCTTTTCTCATCCAGTTTGTGCAGGCCAGCAGCCCAAGACTGCCCCCACAGGCCACTCAAGGATTCGCAGGGATCTGGAGCTGCAACACCTTCCGTGGCTCAGCACGGGGGGGGGGGGCAGGGGCTTCCCCTGTTGAAGCCCCAGCAGGACTCCCAGTTGCCTCCCCCCCTTTTTCTGTTGTGGCCATTCAGAAGAGAGGATTGGGCTGGGGGGGGTCCCTTGCCCCCCCCCGTCTGGCTCTGGGCTCCATCCAAAGGACCCAGAAAGACTCTTTGCTGCCCCACAGGCAGAGCACTGGGCAGCTGAGGAGCCCCTGCAGGGACCCCGAGCAGAAGGTGCCCAGGAAAGTGGTCTTGAGCAAGCCCCCCCCCCTCGGCCACATGCCCCGCCCTTCCCCCCGTCCCGCATTCCTTCTGTCTTCCAAGGTAGCCCCCCCCTGTGGCTCTATGGAGCTCTGTGGTTGGGGTGGGATTGCTGGAACGGAGGGGGGGTAGGAGTTGGGGGACGGCCTCCCCTCACAGGCCCCTGGGCCTCTTGCAGGTGTGGTTCGGACGGCCGTGGCCAACCTGGACCGGGAGACCCAGGACCGCTACGAGGTGGTAGTCCAGGCCACGGATATGGCGGGGCAGCTGGGGGGCCTCTCGGGCTCCACGACCGTCACCATCATCATCACTGACGTCAATGACAACCCTCCTCGCTTCCCCCAAAGTAAGACTTCCGCCTGGGGCTTGGGGGAGGGGCAGGGTGGGGGGGGGCTGCTGTGGAGGGAGGATGACCACAGCAGAGCTGGGCTCCAGGTGTGGGGGAGTGGGCTGCTGCTGCCGCTGACCAGGACCCCCACAGCCACCGTGCCTGGCTGCTCTCCCCCGTGCGCAGCTCGAGGGAGGAGCTGAAGAGGAGCCTTGAATGGTGGCGGGGGGGGCACCCCTTGTGTCCCTTGCCTGGATCTCCTCCTGGCAACAGCCCCCCCGCTCCCTCAGAATTCAGCTCTTCTGTCCTTTTGCCCACCCCTCCCCCCAGAGATGTACCAGTTCAGCATGGTGGAAACAGCCCCCGTGGGCACCCTGGTCGGGCGAGTGAGGGCAGAGGATGCCGATGTTGGGGAGAACACAGACATGGCCTACCAGATCAAGGAGGAGGAGGAGGGGGCCCTGGGACCCTTCCGTGTGGCCACAGACAGCAACACGCAGGAAGCCCTGGTCTTCTTGCAGCAGGTGAGGCCCGAGCCCAGGACCGGACGTCTTCCCTGCTTACGAGGCAGAAGCATGTGCCCACCCCCCAGCCAGGGTGGACGGATCCTCTGGGGAGGGGTCTACAGGAAGGACCCATTTCCCCTGCCCTGCATGGGCCCCAATGCAAGGGGTCAGTCGGGGGAGGGGGGGCTGCGGGGGATAAGAGGGCAGAGTGACCCCCACCGCCTCCTTTCTTCTTTCAGCCGCTGAACTTCGAGGCCCAGGCCGTGCACACCGTGGTCTTGGAGGCGCTGAATAAGTTTGCGGACCCCCGCTTTATGGACCTGGATACCTTCCGGGACCAGACCATCGTGCTGGTCTCTGTGCTGGATGCGGACGAGCCCCCTGAGTTCCGGCCTCCCAGCGGCCGGGTGGAGGTGCAGGAAGACGCGCTGGTGGGCTCCCTGGTGGGGGTGGTCACCGCAGTGGACCCTGATGTGGCCAGCAGACCCATTCGGTAAGTGAGGTCATTTCCTCCCTCTGGGAAAAGGGCTGATGGCGCGTGGAGGGAGCAGGAGGGCCACCTCCTGTGCCGGACATGGATTTGGGGAAGGGAGCATGGCCAGCCGGAGCAAAGCTGGCAAAATGGCTGGAACTTGCCCACTCCATGGTCTGTGGTTCCTGGGCTGACCTGGCTCCTTTGCGAGGTTTGGGGACTGGACACACCAGTCCAGTTGCCAGCCCTCCAAGGGCCAAAGAGGGAAACGGGGCAGCTGGACACAGTCCATGGTGGATGCTGGTGGTGGGATTCAGGCTCCTTGCGAAGGGTGTGACCTTGTGGGTGTGACCCTGTGTGTCAAGGAGGATGTGAGGCTGGACAATGGGCTCAGCCCACAGCCCCCCCCCAGGGCTCCAAACCCCAGGGAGCCCCACACCAGAGAAGCCTCCCGGAGGGTGGTCTTGAGGGGGGAGAGCAGAACCCAGGAAGCCCCCTCCCCCATTGAAAAGTGGGAAGCGTAGAAGGGAGGGAGGAACCCCTCCACGGTTGTGCAGCGGCTGCAAGAGAACACTCCTGGTGTGGAATGGCACCCGTGGCCATCCAGATCCTCAGGAGACGGGGACCCTGCCAGAGGACCCACGTCTACTTTAGAGGAAGGTTCCATAAACAGAATCTTGCACGTCCAAAAATCTCTTCCCAGCCTGATAGGGAGGAGGGTCTCTTTTGCCTCCCTCCCAGCTGGGCGACCTCTTACCTGACCCTTTGCCCGCCTGCCACGGTCAGTGCCACTGGCAGATGCACCTGGCCACAGAAAGAGGCCGGCCAGCATCTCCTTGTCTCCGCAGGGCTTAGCCCAGGAGCAGGTGTGTGTGGGGGGTGTTATGAGCTGATTAAAATCAAGGAATACTCCCCCCCCACCTGGAAAGATGGTCAAGGAGTGTCACATTTTGTTTGTTTGTTTGTTTGTTCATTTATTCATTAGATTTATTGGCCACCTCAGGGTGCCTTGCAAACACTTCCTTTCTTGTCTGGAAATGAGGGGGTGGGGGGGAGGTGTCTCAAAGGGCGGGGGGGGGGCAGCTCTTAGCGCAGGCTCCGAATGACAAAAGGGCGGCTGAAATATTTACGGCGGGTCAGGCAGGGTCTCGCAGAGTGGAAAGTCAGCAGGCTGGTTAAAAATCCATTTCAGAAGCGATGAGGGAGGGCCCCCCCTTCGCTTTGGGGAGGGCCCCCCCTTCGCTTTGGGGAATGAAACAGGCTGTCCAGGACAGGAACGCAGGCCGGCACTTTCTGGGCTGGGGGGCACGGGGGCTTAACGTCAGTCAAGGGGCAGAGCTGAAATGGGTTGAGCGTTTGCTTCTGGAAAGCAGGGTTGGAATTAGCCAGAGTGGTGACATTTTGTATTTATTTACTCGTCCCTCTATTTGTGCAATAGGCACAGCCGCCCGTCTCCCGGGGATGGCCCTGGGCAGTTCACGTAATTAGGCGACCAAGCAAGCAACAAAGCTAATAAACCTGTGCAAATACCAAAAATACCCCAACAACACCTCCTTTAAAACCAGATTAAAAGCATAACGCGTCATTACAAGCAGGCAAGCCTTGCATCCATCGTCCCAGCAGGTGGGCAGGTGGGCAGATGGGAGCCTTTCAGAGGCAAACCGGTCCAGGCCAACCGAACCTCCAGGGCGATGATGCTCCCAAGGGTGGGCAGGAAAGGCTCTTCCCCTCCCCCCAGCTGGCAGAGGAAGCCCCATAACAGGCAGGGCCCGTCACCCACCTCTCCTGTCGGACCTGATGGGATGGAGGAGGGCGGCAGGAAGCCGTAACTAGGTGGAGAAGAGCTGGTGGGGCTTCTGCAGAGAGGGGAGTCTTGCCTTCCGTAACTACGGCAACAGGCAGGTGTCAGACGGTGGCCCTCTGACCAGATTTCCCCAGCCCAGAAGCTCCGCCCCACAGTGGTCAGGAGCTCTGTGGGAGGCCTCAGCATCTCCCTCCCCGGGCTGCCCCCTCACCCGCCCAGCCCCTGCTTGCCCCCCTGCCCTGCAGCATCTCCCTCTGCTGCCCCAGGAGGCTGGGACAGGCTCCTGGGGGGGGGGGTTTGGAAGGGCCAGGGGGGCCTTGGCGAGTGGATTTCTGCCCCAGGGATTCATGACTTCTGCCAGGAGCCCTGCTGCTGCGGACACAGAGGGGCCGGGGCTTCCCAGATGGCCTGTGGTGGCTGCTCTCTGCGGGATCTGGGCTGGCAGGGCGCCTCCTCCGGTTTGTCACGTCTGCGGATCTGATGAGCGCCGGGCCGCTCCTTCCTCCCGGCCATTAACTTTATTGCACTGGCACTTTGGCAAAGAGCTAGACGAATGCAGCCTCCCTGCCCTCTGGGTGCCACCAGGCTGGGTGGGCATCCAAAGAACTGGCAATGCCAGCTGGAGCTCCGTGGGGGGGGGTGCAGCTCTTCTCCCCATGCTGACCTTCTTCTGATGAAGTCTTGGCAGCCCAACCCTTGGCTTGTGATCAGCAGAAGCAGCGAAGCCAAGAAGAGACCCCAGCCCCAATTTGCAGGCTGCCTATCATGCCTCCCCTGCTCCCGCCTAGGCTGACCCTCCCCCCACCTGTCCCTGGCAGCAGCTGCTGCTCTTTGGTGATGAACCCTTCTGTGCACATGGGGGGGGTGTCAGGAGGGGAGACCTGTGACGGGGGGGGGGGGAGAGGGGACGGAAACGGCCTCCGCCTCTTCCCTGGCTTCGGCCTGGCTGGGCTGCACAGGGGCACTGCTGGAAGGGAGAGCTTGCTGGGCCTGGCCCCGCTTGGGCCTTCCCGAGGGGAGGGAGAGGCTCGGGCACCTCCTGCACACAGGCAGGGCACGGCAGGAGGTGGGCTGGCGGGCGGGACTCGTGGAAGGAGCCGGGCACGCCTGGTGCCAGCCTACTGCTGGGTCTGTGCCGGTGCCAGGTCTCCCATCCAGCCAGGCTGCCCTCCCCGCCTGCCTACTCCTGCCCAGTCTGGCCAGCTGCAGCTCACAGCTGCTCTGCTTTCTGGGCCTCCCAGGTACGCCCTCGAGCGCCCCGAGGACACAGAGCAGATTTTTGATATCGACGCCAAGACTGGAGCCATCCTGACCAGGCAGGCCTTGGACCGAGAGACGGCCGGCTGGCACAACATCACCGTCTTGGCCATGGAGGCTGGTGAGCAGGCTGGGGTGGGGGTGGGGGGTGGCATGGAAGGCCTCTGTGAGTGGAGGTCTGCTGGAGCCTCACCTGGTGCCTGGCATTGCCCCAACCCTCAGAGGGGAAGGGACAGAGGTGGCCCGGCAGAGGCGCCCCAGAGCGGTTATATGAACCCTGGAACAAAAAGGGGGCCTCAGGATAAGCGGCACCATCTTGATTTGGGGGAGGGGTCAAGCAGGGCCACCTTTGGAAGGGCTGGTCCTGGGGGTGCTAGTAGCGTCCAGCTTGCCCACAGCTTTGCGTGGGTGGAATGTATCTGCTTTGCCCCTGCCTCTCCGATTCCCCCCCTCCCCATTTCTGCTTTGTTTCCCTTCTGCTTTCCTGAAAGAGGCCACCGAGTGCTGTGGGGAAAAGGGGTGGGGGAAGGGGGCTGCCTGGGGGGAGGGGAGCAGAGGAAGGACTGGAGGAAGGGGTTGAGCTCTCCAAGGGGCTGTTCGTGTTTCCAGGATGGGTGCGGAGCGGCCTTGTGGAGGCCCAGGGACTGCCCAGAGGGGCTTGGGGGTGCAAGGCTGCACCTGACGCCACCAGCCGGTCCTCTTGGTCGCCCATTTCGGGGGCTTCTGTGGGGGCTCGGTTCATGCAGCAGGTCAAGCTGGCTTACCGGGTAAAGATGGCTTTGCAGCTGGCTTAGTGTGGTGTTTGGTAGTCTGTTGTGCAAGGCCACGGTGGCTCAGAAAGCCTGTGGTGTAAGAGCAGTTATCGTGCTCCACTCAAAGTCCTGTGGATCCGCACAGCTAAACTCGGAGCGCAGAGACCCCAAGATCCTCTCCTCACTCTCTGGTCAGTCTTTGGCCATCCTAGTTCAACCATCCTTGTTGTGTTTGATAAGTTTTTCCCTTGTTTTCATTGATAAGAAAACTCAAAGGTGCTTTTTCATGAGGCAACTAGACTTCCTGCTTTTTCTTTGAGGACTTGGAAGGATTTATATTCCTTGTAGACAGCTGGTCATTTGCATTCTTTTAGAGAGTTGTTGAGACCACTTGGAGCTTTATCTGTGTCCTCCAGATCACCTGAGTGGTGCAAATGGGTGTAGAGCAGTGGTTCTCAACCTTTTTAATGCTGCGACCCCCAACTGGTCATAAGTCGAGGACTAAACCCGTTGTAAGTCGAGGACTAAACCCGTTGTAAGTTGAGGACTACCCAACCAGTCATAAGTCAAGGACTTTCCCTGCCCGGGAGCGCCACACATGCATGGTGCCGCCCCCTGCACCGGCCGAGGCGTAGCTGGCAAGTGGCAGAGACGGAGCAGGCCATCCACTGGCTGGGCCACCAGCTGGCCCAGCCCAAGGGAGGTAAGGCACCCGCCGGAAAAGGGGAAAAAATGGCGGACAGCCTTGCTTGGCGACCCCCGTGAAATGGTTGATCGACCCCAAATGGGGTCGCGACCCATAGGTTGAGAACCGCTGGTGTAGAGCAAACGACCAGCCGTCTGCAAGGAGTATAAATCCTTCCCTTCCCCACCATCCAGTCAGAGCAGAAGAAGCTTCTTAGATGAGAAGCGAAACATCTTCAAAGGAAACCAGTGACCTCTTGAAAAAAAGGCACCTTTGGGACAACCTGGACCTGGACGATGGGGACCCTCCAGAGACATCAATAAGGAAACATGGATGAGCGGCTCATGGCTAGGATGTTTGAGCCAGCTGGGCCTCCCCTCAGCCGCTCTGCCATCTAGCCTTCACTGTCCCAGGGTTGCTGTTGAAATAAAGACATATCAGGTCTGTGGCTGGTGTAATATCGACAGAGAGGGAAGGCCTGACTTTGGGCAGACTGGGGGGGGACAGTGGAGGAGGGGGTGGGGGGGCAGGCTGGTGTGTTAGGGTGGGTGGGATTTCAAATAGTCAGACACAGCTTAGCAACTGGACAACAAAAAACGCCGGTGGCCTTCCAGCAATCTCAGTTACCTGTTAAAGAAATTAGGCAGGGGTCTTTTGGTAAAGGTTGTTTCTGACTTCGGTCATCATCACATTGTTCTCAGGGTACTGACATTTATTTGTGGTTTTAAAACTTTTTATGAAGGTCGTAGTCTGCAGCTCTCTTGAGCCTCCTTTATCTTCTTCCAAAGCTCTCTTCCGCTTTTTCCACCGCTTTGCCCCCCCCGCCCCCTCTCTGCTCCCTGAAGCCAAATCTTCAGCTGCTTCCTTCACTCTCATTGGATGCTGTTTATCTGGGCCAGGAGATTTAAACTTATTTGTAGTAAATGGTGATTTCCCAAACCGTCTTTCTGCCTGTCTCCCCTCTCTCCGCTTTGCTCTTTGCAATTCCTTCCTGAAAAGCCCAGCCTTGCGCCAGGAGATTGAGGCAGGGCAGAAGTTGAGCAGCTCAGCGGTTTCTTTTAGCATGTTGCCCCTCTTGCAAAGCAGCCCATGCACCGGCTTCCTTTCTTATGCCTGTATTTTGAAAAGTCCTTTCTGTTATTCTTGGATTCCTTGGCTCACCTTGGCTCATTACGAGCCTTCCCTGCCTCTGCAGTTCCGGGCTCCCCCCCTCGCCCCCCCACCGCTCCCCATCGCCTTTGCCTTTTCCGTCTGTGGATCCGCTCTGAGCTTTTTGTGCAGACACAATGCCTTTTTCTACTCCATTTTTTAATTTCTCATTGCAATTATTTGCTATTGTCCTTTTAATATTTCCTTCTTTAAGAACCCCCCCCCCAATCTTGTGAGCCCTTTTCCCTTTAGTTCTCCTGCCATAGAGTTCCATTTATTAAAAAATGGTATTCTGAAATCTGAGACACATATTAAAATTCCCTTAAAATTAAGGAGTCTGGTATTACATCATCACTTCCCCCCCACCACCTCCTTCCCCTTCCTTAATTAAGTCTTCCTGTTGGCCGCTGGTCTTATGGGGGCTTCTCCCACCTTCTTAAAGAGAAAGGGGTCGGCGAGACCTCAGGCATTCCCTGAAAGGGCTGATTGGAAGATTTAGTCTCCCAACAGATGTCAAGAAAATTAACTAATTAAAATCAAATCATGTTTCTTTGAAAGCATCCTCCACATCTTATCTTTGGTAAGATGGTCCATAGCACAATAGATACTAACGATAATATTGTTTGTTGTTCCTCATTTACTAGATAACAAGGCTATGACCCTCCTGAGCCTTTTGTTAAATGAATAAAATAGAATACAATAACAGAATTGGAAGGGACCTTAGAGGTCATCTAGTCCAACCCCCTGCTCAGGCAGGAAACCCTATACCAGTGGTGGCAAACCTATGGCACGGGTGCCAGAGGCGGCACTCAGGGCCCTCTCTGTGGGCACGGGCGCCGTCGCCCCAGTCCTAGGCCTTCAGCTGGGTTTTATAAAACCTTTTCGCTTTGGGCCTCCACCGCCGTCTGCAAAAAAAAAAAAAAAAAAAAAAGTTCAATCAATTTCAACTTCTCGCGGGGAAAAAAAGATCTTGCAAAGTTGGAATTGATTGATTGAACTTTTTAGTCCCACCCAGTCTGCCATTACCGCTGCAGCCACGCCCACCCAATTGGCCACACCCAGCCAATGGGCCATACCCACCCGGCACTCGACGATGCGTAAGTGGGTATTGAGTTGCAGTTTGGGCATTCAGTCTCTAAAAGGTTCACCATCACTGCCCTATACCATTTCAGACACATCGTTGTCCAGTCTCTTCTTAAAAATTTCCAGTGCTGGAGCACCCACAACTTCTGGAGGCAGGTTGTTCCACTGGTTAATTGTTCTCATTGTCAGGAAATTCCTCCTTACTTCCAAGTTGCTTCTCTCCTTGTTTAGTTTCCATCCATTGCTTCTTGTCCTGCCTTCAGGCGCTTTGGAGAAGAAGTTGAGCCCCCCTCCCCTCCTTTGTGGCAACCCCTGAGATCCTGGAAGGCTATCATCAGAGAGGAAGTATCGTGGTAAGCCCTGGTCGACGTCCCCCGTTCTTGCTCCTGGCCACCAGCCCTCTGCACACACCGATGGGTCTGATGGCCATCCACAGGGCCTCTTCCATCCGTCCCCCTGCAGGGAGCAGCCCCGGCCCTCTGCCTCCAAAGGAGCCACGGCTTGGGATCCTCTTCCGCAGGGACCCCTTTCCTTCTGTGGAAAGCTCTGCGCCCGTTTCTTCTGAGGCCGGGGGATGCAAAACGCCTTGGAGGTAACCTGCGTGTGGGTTTGTCCTTCTCCTCCAAGGGGCCCCTCCTCCTTCGACCTCCGTCCGTGAGTCAGCCAGTCCCTTCGCGCTGCTGCTTCTTTTCAGCCGCTGTTGCGATGCTTTTCCCTCCTTTGATTTGATAAATCTCCCTGTTCTTGCACCCCCCCCTTGCCAGTCCCTTGACTTTATGTTTCAAGGGCTGCTACAAATGTAATTGGACATTGGTGTGTACCAGGCCAGTCTGCAGCCTGACAGGAACAGGCCACAAAGATCGCGAGTCATAGCTTCGAGCCTTATCCATGTGTAGAATCATGAGGGTACCTTAGAGGTCATCCAGTCCAGCCCTGTAGAGGGTCACAGAGATGACCTTGGAGAAACTAGAGAGGAAGGTAGGGAAAAGATGAGTTGAGCCCAGGAATCAGAGCAAGGCTGAGAAAGTAATTTGGGTTAATACCTCCCTAATTCATTTGAGTTTATTTTGGGGGGGAGAGGTACTTACCAGTTTTCAAGATTCTGCCTATTAGTAAAATATAGTTCTACCTTTTTTTCCGGCTGGCCTCCTCAAGGGCCAGCAAGCCACCTGCTGAAGGTAGATCTGCTGAAGCCTTTCAGACCATCAGCTGACCAGCTTCTCTTTGACCACGCTAGTGAAGAGGAACTTAATTATTTATTAGATTTATTTGCTGCTTATCGCACTTTGATACATTACTTCGTGCTTGTTCAACTGACTGACAGCTAATACCGTTAAGAAACTCCTGCTAACTCTGGTGCATGGAGAAGAAAGGACACCCTTTGGAAACCTGCAGGAACGGAGCTGGCATCCTGAAGGTTTCATCTTTGTTCCAGCAGCCCCATGAAGGATT